CTGTTCACAGTAGCCTGGAAATGGAACCATCCTAGATGACTACCAAACTCTACACACACACACACACACACACACACAGACACACACACACACACACACACACACATTTCCTATTCTGTATGTTCTAGAAGTCTTTTCATAAGAGTATAGATAGATCTATATGTATTTATTTTTATCACCTATGATATTTAAAGGTAAGGTCTAAAGGCTGGTCAGATAGCTTAGGGGTGGCACACTTGTCCAGTGTGTGCTTGTATGAGGGCTTTGTACTTGTGCTTCCTTCTTCTGGGGATATTTCTGGTTCCTTTTCTTTTTATCTTTCAAATCTCTGCTCAAGCATCAATCCAACGAAATTACTTTTCAAGGCCTTCTTTGACCCTGCAGCAGCAAAACGTATTTTCTAGATTATGGCTAGAACTTGTACTCGTTTCAATTTCAATAATTACAGAAAAGCAATTATTCTTTAACACAATTTTACTCCCAAATACATTAAGTTCCCTGAAGGTAGATCTTCTATCTTCGACACCTTTATCCTTAACTGCTGTCCTTAGTGCCAAGACTATAGATTATTGTCTATATACATTTCACAAAATGAAACGAATAACTGGGAGCTAAATACATTATGGACACTGCAATACATTATGGTGACAGACACTTCTAGTTACAACCTATACAGCCACAATTTGGTGTGTATTCTCAGGCACACTCCACCGATTTGTGGATGGCACCATACCCTATGCACTGTACTAAGTGCTGGGCTACCTCAGATTTTGCTTCTTCCTGTGTGGATTTTTGCACTTGCTTCCCAAGAACTCACTTAATAGCCATTTCTTGGACCTTCTTGATAGTGAGGGAATCATTCTGGTTGCAGGGAAAGGTTTGGCAGTTTGATGATAAAATATGTAGGCTTTGAAACATAGTTATGTTTGTTTGGTGTGTGATGCTCAATGACTTACCTAGCCTTATGTGCATATAGGGAATATAGGCTTGTCTTAAAGATGACACTGTTTAGGTCTTGGCACAAAAATCAGCTTTACTCTAAATGGTTCAAATGGGTTACTTACAGAGGTTTGAGTAATAGTGTGTGTAGTGGGGGAGGGAAGGTTGGTGGGGCACCCAGAAACTAACAGGACTAAAGAAATCCATGCCACCCCTTGGCATGAAAGGACAAAGGGAAGAGTATTACTTGATTCCAGTGAGGCCTAGAATCCTAGAAGGGGATATAGCTAAGGCTGGGACTGCAGCTCCCAGCTGGAAGGGAAAGAGGAAGAAATATCCCCTCATCACCCCACTCTGACTGGCTGCTGCCGGTGTTATCCATTGATTGAACCCAAAATGGCATTAGGATACAAGTGAGACCTGGGGGTGTACCCTTCAGAGCTGGATCCCTGGAAAACAGACCAGGCAGAGACAATAAGAGAGAGGGTTATGGGGCCATAGACTAGCAGGCTCCTGGATTAAATAAAAACAAGTAATCACCACTTCTCTCAGAGCTCTCCACATAGCAAGTACTCAAGAAACAGCTGTTGTTACTGCTATGACAACTGCCAGGCCAAGGAAGGCACTTCCTAGTTCTGATGTCATCTGAACACCCTTGATCAGCAGACACCTCGACATGATGCAGACAGCATGGCCTGCATTCTCTGGTCTGCTTAGTCTCACAGCTGTTTTTCTTCACATCAAAGCCTTAATTATCTTGTGTCTGCTCTTCTCAAGCTAAATTAGGCTGTCTAACCTATCCCCATGTTTGCTGGGAGAAAAATAATTTCTGAGCAATGTTCTTTTGGGAAAACTGTCCATCTGGGCAGCCACTCACTTCCCATATGGCCAGCTTCAGACACTTTCCTTTTTCCTTCTTATCCAACAGACCAAGGGAAAATGGCCGTGCTAACAACTCTTTCAACTGTTGCTGCTGTAGCATAAAACATGGAAGCCTCTTATGAGGGCTTAAAATGTGTTTTAAAATCCTTTTTCTTGGGGAAGGCATGGTGGTATATGCTTTTAATCCCAGCACACAGGAGGCAGAAGCAGTTCGATCTGTGAGTTCCAGACCAGTCGGACCTACAAAGGAGTACAGGCCTGGACTCTCTGTTACAGAAAAACTCTGTCTCAAAAAAAGAAAGCCAACCATCCAACCAACCAAGTAAATAGAATAAATCCTTTTTCTCCTGTTGGGCATGCTGCTGCTGTCTTCTGCTTAGTAGTTACTGCTGTCTCAAAGCCAAGGTATCAGAGGATCTGATGTGATTACAGCTGAGCTGATTACAGCATGTAATCACTGCTTCAACACTCCCTTCCTCTTCCCACTTTCTTTTTAGGTCTCTTGTCATGTTTCCTATTCTTCAGCACCCTTGCCACAAGGCTGGGCTCTCCACCAGTGCCAACAAATCACTGTTCCTGCCCTTCAAGAAGACGATTCAATTAATCACTGCAAACGAGTTAAAATCTCTGGCTATTTGAGTCACTGGCATCTGGTTTGTTGAGTGCCTAGGGTTTGAGGTTTCTGAGGGCTGAATATATTCACTATCTTCCCAGCATGGTAGTGGATTAGATGGCATTTAGTGGACTAGAAGTACTACAGATAAGGTCAGTGACATGGGTAAGGCTTTGAAGAGAAAGATCAAAGAAGTACCTTTTAGGTAGTAGTATGAACTTTAAGCGAACTTAGGTGACAAAACCCTTTGAGGGCTAGGTGTCAGATGCTTCCAAAAAGTACTGGGTGTTTTTTGGGGAGTGGGGGTGGGGGAGCAGAGGGTCCACCCTAACACCTCTCAAAAGGTACACAGAGGGGGACTTCTGATGGTCCAGGGCTGGGTGAGGACCCTGTGGTGAAAGGTGTGGTAAAAAGATGTTTTGGGTTCAACTGACTCATTTATATAGCTGAATCCTTTAGGTCTCTCCCCAGTTTAGGAAGCAATCTCTCTAGGAATGGGAAAAGGGGTGGAGGCTGCAAAAAGATTAATTTGTACACTTCATGTTTTTTTTCTTTTAAACATTAGCTTTTTGCGGCAAGCCTTTTAGTTCACTTTTTAGAAATCATGACTGTTAACTGCAAAATGAAATGACTGTTACAAGAATAAACTAATTATCCTGCATCTGACTTCAGTGTCTTCTAATGGGGGAAAGTAAAAAAAAAAAAAATATTCTTGAAGTTCACATAAGCTTCTTGGTTGTACAATGTCTAATGTAAAATAAAATTAACAAATTGTATTCAACATTGTATTGACTCAGAGAAGAAAGATAACCCATAGATGCTGCCCTGGAAGAACTGAAAGTCTCTATGAACAAAGTTCAAAAACTATTACAACAATTAGGGGTATGTTATCAACCTATATATTGGCTAAATAATTCCACATCAATCACATGCTTATTAAAATGTGTGCACTGGATGTTCATTAATGGGTAATAGACTAGTACTTGAACATCATTCCTGATATATTTACTTTGAAGATTTGTAATATGAGTCTTGTTTAGAAAGCAATGCTGTGTATTGTTGAAATTTCACCCAAGATAAATTATATTAAGAACTGGACAAGCAGAGTTTAGTGGGATTAAGTTTGCCTTTCAAAGTGAATAAATTCTGTACACAAAGGAAATGACCTTCATACTACAGTGAGTCAATTCCAATGTCATAGTCTTCAGTCACTTAGCTCTTCCAGGAAGTGGTTATGGCACATCAATTTAACAAGATTCAACTTGCAAATCTGAAAAATTCTAGAGTATCAAATGTTACTTAAGAAAAAAGTTAGTTAAGTATTCAACTTACAAAATACAAATGAGACCTTCTTTCTATACTCAAGGTCAAAGCTGACAATAAAACAAATTCAGGAATGTGTTTGCCTAGTAAACAGGGAACGCTCATTCAAACATTGTTAACTGTGTTTACTAAAACAGAACTGAACCTGGTGGTACAGGCCTGTTACCTCTAGCTACTTGGAAGGCTAGGGCAGATCTGACAGTTCAAGAGCTGCCTAGAAAACTTAAGAAGACCCCATGTCAAAATCAAAGTGTTATGTATATGCAAAATAGCGAAATAAGCACTAATCAAAAAAAGCAAAAAGAGGGCTGGGGTACGGCTCAGTGACAGAGCACCTGCCTAATATATCCAAGTGTCTACATTCAATCCCCAGTATTGCAATAAACGCAGAAAATACCAAAGTTAGTCACCCAGTCCTTGATGTGATAGTTAGCACTTCACTATTTTTCTTCCTTCGTTCCTGGCAACAATAATTGGTATAACTTTTCTTGTTTTCTTAAGATAGTCATTTAATGAGTTAATGAACATAAATTTATCAGTGGAAGAAATGTAGAGAGGTCTACAGCCAAAGACTCTCCAAACATTTCACCATGAAAATCTGCATCTTTTATTTTCAGGGTTAAGGCATTAAAACAGACTCCTCCCCATTAAAGTTACTATAGTCTATAAAGCTCACCTGTATTTGTAAATGTGAAGCTTCACCTTAACCAAATAGCATTCCTAAGAAGCCATCCATCTAAAAACTAGCTTAAAAGGAGACTTGATGTGGACTAGAAATGTTTAACAGAGAATGGACAAAGTTCAAAATTACTTCAACAATTATGTGGTCTATCCATACAATGGGATGGCTACTCATCAAATAAGGAACAGCCCATGAAAACATTCAACATAAAATAATATTTTTTTTAAAAAGCAACATAAAGGAGTATAGAACTGCATTTACATGAAGTTCTAAAAAAAAAAAAAAAAGGAGCACTGCACTGTTTATGTGTGGAAAGGTTAACTAGAATGGAACATGAAGTCACTTTCTGGGATACTGAAAGGTATCCTTTCATGGATACTGACAGCCAGATTTCACATTATAGATGTAAAGCCTTTTAATTTTATTGAATATAAATTATAACTAGACTTAAATAATTAAGATGCTATTCATTTATTGGCTCCTAAAGTTAAATACAACCTCCCATAGAAGGCATACAGTGAATGCTACTACTTTTAAAAACCCACAAAGGCATCTCAGAAAGCAGGTATAAAGCTTTAATTCACTGTGGGCATTTCTCTGACCATAGACAGCATTCAAACCAAATATCACACCACTGCTCCTTTTTAACTAGCTCAGGACATATTACATGGAACATGAAGCACTGACTAAATATAAATACAGAAATTGAATACATGTAAGAAAGTTTAAATAAAACAAGATTAAGAAAGACTAATTTCATAAAAATTTATATAAGCTGACTTTACTTCTAAACATTATGTCATGATTATGACAAGTCATAAATAAAATCACAACTGCTTTTAAATAACAGTACCTAAAAACTTTTGAATATCCAGTTATTTTCATTTTTTCCACATTGTATTTTCATTTCTATACATATAGGCTGACTTTCAGACTATAGATAAAACTTCTTGGGTAATAAGGATTACTGTCGTTTTACAAGTACAGAAAGTAAAATTTATATTCTCTGTATTATATATACTGAGATGAGACATTAGTCAGCATGTAACACAGAACTCTCCTATGGTGGTATTCAAAAGCAATTCCAAACAGTACTAAAAGTGGTGTTTCATACTGTAGACATTTAGAAGTAAGTGGTACTTAAAAGGTTGACTACAAAAAACAAAATCTAAAAGTACTTTAGAAAACAAATTCTATGCTGTTTTGAGCTGCAATCTTCTTTTGTCTACTTTCATTTGGACCTAATTTTGCAGCCAGTGCTTCTGTATATTGATTTAGGATTCACAATCCAGAGTCCTTGAACACACAGTTCAGATCCAACAGAATTCTGAAAGGACTCCTTTACTGTCAACTAATTATATAACAGAAACTAATCATGTTTTATATAAAAATCTATGTGAATTTTAAACAAAATCATAGATTTTTCTTAGTGAATAACTGATGAAAATATATGCACATTTGTACACAGATCACCATTAAATGTAGGAACAAAAGTATCATTTGATGCATATCAAATAAACTCCTAGAAAGCCTACTTAAATATACTTATTTTCATTTACTTTAAGACAGTATTAGAAAGGACTGCATATAATTATAGTCACAGCTGCAAATACTTGATGCTACTAAGTGTTCTATATCAGGCATGCACAGGTTATGATTTAAAGTTTCTCATGTATATATCTTAACACATATATTATAAGCTATAGTATGTTTAAAACATTTAATAATATAAATCCAATTGTTTTAATTGGCCTAAGTGGGGAAAAACAAAAAAATTTTTTAAACTGTCATAATACAATATTAAAATCTTGCTACTCAAGTTGATATTTAAACTTATTACATGCTATTTTTAAAACTCAAAAATTCATAAAATTCCTATCACAAATAAATAAATAAATACAATTTCTCAGCAGCAGTTTGCTTACCCACCACACATACAGCTTGTCAAGATTTCAGGGACTACAGAACAGTGACATGCTGATAACTATGGGTGATAAGAATTAAATATAGCAGTCTGTTTTCATTCTAGGTATATCTTTATTTCAAACTAAATAAAGCTTTTCATGAATACAAATGAGAAAAACACATTTTCCCTTTATTTAACATTCACTAGATGGATAAATTAAAACTAAGAACCTTTATTGTCTTTTAGGTGTAGCAAAACAAAACATTTCGGTTACACTGAGGAAATCATGGGTGAGGAAGAACAGTTTAGATTTTTTTCTGTTTAGTAAGCATATTTTATCATACAATCACAAAAACATACAAATCCAGATTTCTTTGTTCATGGTCATTTATGGCTTAAAGTACTGGACCTGAAAAATACTTTAGGCTAAAATAAATGTATGTGAATAAATACCTGAACTGTTTGTCTTAAAAAGAAATGCAGAAATAAATATTCTCGTGTACGTTAGAAGCCTTATTATAGAAGTCTGCAGATGGGCATGGTAATGGTTTTTTGCCTTTACTAATACTCCCGGGAAGAACCTTGCTTTTGACCTATTCAAGATCATATCTGCCTATCTTCATATTCTTAAGTTGGTGAGTCACTGTTCCAAGACACCTGGGTAAGGAAACAAGCTGCCTCAGGTGCAGGTACCACGAGGTCCAACAGGACAGACAGACACTCATATGCTATCATCTGCTGCACAGTCAATCTGAATACTAGGCTAGCTAGAATATCAAACATGAAGTGTTTAGAATGACTCACTGGAATATTTACTGTATTAGTTTCTTTCAAACGTCGATCTTCCCTTCAAACTGAAGAACTGCCAGGGTAATATCACTTACTGTTCCTGGTTTTGATATGCCCCTACAACATGAGAATTGAACTGAACTACAATGATTGTAATGTCATCTCTATACATCCGAGCAAGCTCTTCAGGAAGACTAAGCATTTTAGAGAGTCGTTCATGATCAACTGCTCCAAATTCATTATTACCTACAGCATGGCGAATGAGATGGGTTGCTGCATTCTGATCCTCAAAGACTGATGACATCTTTGCTCTCCTTTCTGTTAAAAGGCCATGCATCTGTCCCAGAGTCACCTTGTACCCACCAACAGCTATTGGCTGTTGGTGATGCATACCAGTTAAGTACTCACCCACAATCCTAACCACATCCTGTCTATGCATAGTCTCCCACAACCCATCAGTTGCTAACACTAGGAATTTATCCTGTGGCCTTAATCGGTGATAAGTTACCTCTGGCTCAGCAGTGAGATAAGGAGGTGTATGATAGTTAGGAGGGATAAACTTGGTGTACTCATTGTCATTCAACTGGTCTGGGCCAGACTCTATCACTCTCTTTTGAAGGTCAATGCTCCATTTGAACTTTACATCTCCAAAAGCCCTAAAGGGCATCAGCAAGCCAAGCAGCCGATCCTGCTTTACCACGCTCTTGGCCTCATTTTTGGGGTGTTCCAGTTTCAGACGCTCTAGCTCTCTTTCATTCTGAGCATTGTGGTCATTAGAGAGTGTGACTGCTGACCAAGAGCCATCTTCTTCTTGCACACCTAGCATGGCTCTACTATCGCCAGTGTTAGCCACATGGAGGTCAACACCATCTACATGGGCCACACAAGCAGTAGCCCCAGAAAATGCTACCCGAAGAACCAAGTAATTGAGAAAAGAATTAGGATCACCGACTTGAGCCTCCAATGAAATGTCATTATCAAGTCTCTTGAAAGCATTAATTAAAGCCTCCTTAACATCAATATCAGCTGATTCTCCAGTATTGAGGTCTATAAGCTCTTGCCAGTAAGTCCTCAAGCTGTTGAAATACAATTTGGATGCCTCCTTACTGAAGTAATCATTGGGGTGCTTGTGCCACTGAAGGATAGGTAGTAGTGCACGACCACTCTCCACTGCATTTTCAATCTCTAGCAAAGTCTCATGGGGCAACAAGGATACAGCAATATAATAGAAGAGTCTTTCACTGACTGCCTGGGAACAAGCACAGCCTGCATGACCATCAAAAACCCCCAAAAGCATCCCTCTGGTCTGCAAGCATGTTGCTGCACTTCTCCGGTCCTCTATGGGTGCATTTGCAGGCAGCTGATTGCTGTCAAATCCAAGAATGGAACTGACATTTTTGCCATCAAATTCTGGTACTTTGAAGCTGTATTCATTAGCTTTAAGGATGCTGTTGACTTGTGGAGGTGTGAGGTAAAATTTCTGTGGTGTAGAAGCATATCTCCTTCCTTGAGTATACTGCCACCAGTTCTCCCTTGGCCTACAAAAGGTAGCATATGCTGGATGGGGTGTATATCTCAGACGATTCTGAGGAACGTACGGTGGTGAACAGCAGAGATGTTTGTGATGGCAGTAGCATGCAGTGCCATAGATTCTGCTCAGTTCACAGTTACGGACGAGAGGAAAAAACAGTTGAGTCGGTGCTGGCATGGCATCAGAGAACAGTGGTAGACTGGACGTTCTGACTGGGATTCCTAGAGAGCAAATTAAGACAGACATACACAAAGAAAGGTTACACTCTGAATTATCTGACAAGCTTTGCTTTTTAGAAAATATTCTCTAAGGCAATTTATATAAAAGCCCTATGCTAGGTTAATTTCTACAGGGTGTTTTATGATAATTAACCATAAACTTTCAACCATTCATGAAGCCAGGAATGAACTACAGTTAAGTTTCTGTTTTCTCTTTCCTTTGTATTTCTATGTGCAGTACAGACTGCTCAGCATACACATCTATCTGGCTGGAGAGCACAGAGCAGGAAGTTATGTAACACTGTGCCGCAGCCTTCTACCTGCCCAATCACCACTCTCCCTCTCTATGCTTTTCTAAAGGGCCTGAGATCTTCCATCTGCACAGGTACTTCTACCATTTACTTCTACCATCTGCTCCTTGACCTGTGGTCAACTGTTGGCATTTGACTACACTTGGTATCACCAAAAGCAATAATATAGCCTCAACAAAGGCATATTTATATATTAGTGATAAACTATATGAATATACCTCTGCATTAATACAAAGTTCATTTTAACCTCTATAGAACATTTTCCACACAGTAAAACTGAAACAGAAATTCCAGCATTTCTGAACCTCAGTGGATGGATGGTCTTGTAAAGCCTCCATCTCTATACCACTGTGGCAGCTTAGCAAGCTAAAGAAGGATAGATCTGCTCTCCACCATATGATCCTGGGAAAACACAGTCCACCTCTCTGGGACATTCCCTACTAAACTTAACTGAATACATGGAAGCAAACACTCTAAGGCCTCTTTAGAATTCATGCTTTTTATGTTTGAGGTACTGAGGCTTTGAAATCAAATACAGGGTTTACTGATTCATTGCTGAATTCTGCTGTGCCATTTGTGATAAAAAAAAAATTGTAGCTATAAAACCTGATTTTGGAAACATAAAGTGATTCCTGTTTCAGATGTTAATTAATCTGCTATTATTTTCCCATGCTTAGATGTCATAAAGCAAGCTGCAGAAATGTTATTTTATCTACTAGAGATCCCTCTTCATTCCTTGGGGAATGTTTTCTCTTTTGGTTAAAAATAGGTATCTAACTTGTTATAGGAAAACAATAAAAAATCATAAATTAAGCCCAAGGTCTAGATTATAACAGTATAGCATAAGTATCATCAAAACAGCATTTTATAATAGGCATTTATCTAGAAAACTTAAGTGAACAAGTATTATCTATTTCAAATAATATATACAAGAAAAAAGGAATCTTCAGAAACACATTTTCTCTGAATTCCTAAGATATTGTCTCATGCATTCATTTAAATTACAAGAAACAGACATTAGAACTGTTTTAAATAAACAAAAATAGGAAAATAAAACAAATCTTATTATCAACTATTTTTTTCAAAAGCTGAATCTATTAAGGGAAGAATTTTAAGTATGTCAGTGTTAGTAATATATTTAACAATTTTCATGTACTTTTTGGTGGGCGATTCGGGAAGTAAAAAGAGAAAATGAGGGAAGAGAGAAAATCAAACACGGAAAATTCAGATTTGTGCCTGCTTTTGTAGAGAGAATGTCTTTCTAAGTAGTAAAGTACTGGACTACCCAAGAAGAGACTTGTTTCAAAGACAAAAGTACAAAATAGAGAGGACTAGAAGTTTTGGAATTAGGTTCCATAAATAAGGCTTCTGAAATAAAAAAGAAAATTTTCTAACAACAAAATTTTACCAGAACAAACCACCTAAATAACAACAGTTCAAACTGAATACCTGAAAGTCATCCAAAGGTTAAGGGTACATGTCTAAGCCAGGAGATGTGGCCACATCACAATAGCCTGTAGATATAAACCCATACCTTTTTCATGCATGTATGCACAAAAAGCTGTTTTATGCTGCAAATGCTAATATTAAAAATTAAAATATGGGTCCAATTTTAATGGAAGTAAATTTACTTCAGACATCTGTAAGTTTGTATAACTTTAAAACTTAATGTGAGAATTGGGAATGGCAAAGGCCCAATCATTTAAATAACATACTCCAGGCATAACAGGCCTAGGAAACCTTCCCTTTCCTTAAGTTTCTGTGTTTTGACAGTTTTTCTGCTTTTAAAGTCAATTAAAAATGAATGAAATCTGGTAACAAAAGCGCCTCATGCAGCAGGTGCTCTGAATATCTAAATTCTAACACTCTGCATCTTTTTTCTTCACAGCCAAAGTATTTGAGGTTAAAAGTCAAAATAGCAGAGTGCGCATGATTTTTTTCAATTATTATCTTTTCAGTTACTCAGAGCTTAGTATATGGATTGCATTCCAATTCTTCAGCTCTTAACATGCTTTTTAAAAAGGCATATTCTTAGGGGATTTGAATTCATGAAAGCCTGCTCTGTAATAAGCATTCTACCAGGTCATTGCCAATTATATAGTATCTCCATCAGACCAGAAACAGCTATAAGTCAATACACTATTAAATGCTTTGATAAGATGTATGATAAAGATGAAAATTCTTAATATCCTTCTAAACATCCTGTAACTCAACAACAACAACAACAACAAAACCTGTGCTAATAAACTTGCTAAATTAACAAAATAGAAGCCTCCTGATTAGGCAATAAGAATTTCAAAGTAGTTCTTGGTTAACTTGAGCAATCTCACTTTTTTTCTTTTTTTTTTTTTTTAAGTTCATACACCATCACGGCCCACACTTGGCAACATTGTATGAAGCATCTCAGTCTTGGGCAGATTTGGCTGATATTGCCAATGACTAATAAAACGATGCGCTGTAACCAGAAACAGAAAGAGCCCCATCCATTCTTTCTGATGTCCTGGGCAAAGCCTGTGTAAAGATATTATTCCACTTTATCAATAAACCCATGGACCAAATCAATTAGAAGAATGCTACTGGTGTGTCTCTCTCTACTCTGGAGCTTCTCGGTCCTGCAAAGATTCTAACGCAAATGAAAATAAATACTACACTCGTCATTACATGTATCAGAACCTCCGTTTATGTAATCTGATTACATTAAATACCCTGCATAAAGATTTGCAATTTTTCAGCATTTTCTGCAAACGCCTAGCCATTTCACAGCTCAAACTCAGTATCTACAAGAATGAAGAAACCATTATCCTTAAGACACAAAGCACCAAACCAGCACTTGTTTGATCAGTTTCGTGTGCCCCTACCAGAAACTCGCACTTATTAAGATATCAAAAAAACTCTGGTTCAGAGTGCCTTTGTCTCCTTTTCCTTATCTCATCCTTTAATTCCATGAGGACCCCTAGAGCCATCCATTCATACACAAAATCAGTCACCATCCTTCCCTGGGTACCCAACACAGGTAGTTATGTGAATACCTACCAATTCGTCTGGGCCCGGGACACACACACATTCTCCTGTCATCACAACACGGAGCCGACAACATCCACAACCCGCGCGGACAGCAGCAGCGACAGCAGCAGCGGCCCATTGAAAGCAAGGCAGAGATGCTCATTAGAGGAGGCGGCGGCGGGGAGGCGGGAGCGGAGGAGGGGCGAGATCTCGCAGCAGCCCAGTGAATGGGCTGGGAGGGGAGGAGAGACGGGAGCGGGGAGAAAGGGGAGGGGAGAAGAAGAAGAAGAAACCAAACAAACCCACCCTGCCGGCGAGGCGGCATCAGAGCCCTAGACGGGGGACTCCAGGAGCCCGGACAGGCGCACCGCTGCCGCTCCATGCAGCCAGCGCGCCGAGCCCACAAGCACTCAGCATCTTCAGGCCCGCCGGGCCCCACGCGGCGCCCGCTTCCGCAGACCTCCAGGCACAGCCCGCCGCGGGCAGCCGGCTCGGCCACGCGGGGCCAAGCGTGTCAGCGGGGAGCCGAGGCAGACACGCCCGGGCCACGGCCGGCGCCCCGCGCGCTGACAGCCGGGTGCCGTCCGGGACCCGTGGCAGCTAGTCGCGACCGAGGCTCCGCGCGCACCCGGCCCTCCACCCGCGGCCGCTCCCCACGCACGCCCTCCACTTCACCGCCCTGACGCCCCCTCACGACACGACAGCGGTGGACGAGGATACGAACCGGGCACTGTAGAGCACCCGCTGCTGTCTGCCCCGGGTGGCGGCCGCACCCCTCCGAGCGCGTCCTTCCCTCAGCACCACGCAGCACCCTGCCGCGCGGCAGCACGGCCCAGGCCAGCCCACTCCGCGCCCCTGCCTCGCCCGGCCTCCACCCCGCCCCGCCCCCACCGTCGCTCGTGCGCCTTCCGCCTTCCGATTGGCTGCGCAATGACGAGTGGGCGGGACCGAGAGGGCCAGAGGGGCGGGGGGCGGAAGAGGGTGCGCTCCCCGCCAGTTTTGTGACGTCACAGAGGTCAGACAATCCCTTCCATTTGGCGCGGTTATTCTATTGGTTCCACGTGTGCGCGCGCTCCGTGACCACGCCCCGTGGCTGGTGAAGGTGGGTCTGCGCGCGCCGCGAGGCGGCCAACTTTGGTTGGGTTTTGGGGCTCACCGATGAGGAAGTACCTGGGCGGGATCCAGCATCTCTGTGCACGTGGCGCCTCGGGAGCCACTTGCTCCCTGGCGAGCGGGCTTCCGCGAATACCAGGTATCTCTGTGAGGCCCGCGTGCTGCGCTGGGCTGGCCTGAGGGCCAAGCCTCTTCTGCCCCGGGCTGCCCCGGGTAGACCGCGGGAGCAACACAAGTGAGGCTGGCGGAGCATCTCGGATGTGTCTCGTTTCATTCATTCAAGACCAAGTTGCTGATTTTAGGATTATTAGGTCGGGTGGTGTAGTCTATTATTTTTATCGTCCAGGGCTAGGACCCTGTTGTAAACAAAAGCAAAAGGAAGTTTGATGAAGGAATTCTTATCTTTGTAGAGAAGGTGTGTGCTCATGTTCTTTGAAGGACTTTGAAATCAGCATTCCCTCCTTGGGTCTGACTCATTCAGGGTTATGAATTTTAAAATGCAGCCAGTGAAAGTGAGACGAGCACTGGACTTGGAGTCAGAAGAACCTTTCAAGTTTTCCCAGTGACAAAAATTCATCTTCCTCCCATGAGACTCATTTTGCCTATCTGTGGGGTGAGGTTAGGCTTAGGTGCCTAACTACTCACTCACTAAGGGTTCTTTCTGCCCCTTGCCACCATCCACAATTGTCTCTTTATGGGTTAATGCCTTCTTCACTTACCTACATCCGCATAGATGCCATCTTCATGGCATGAAAGTTTCTTGGGAGAAACTGTGCTTCTGCCCAGTGTTAACGAGTTTACGTTGATTTATTCCACACACTTTATTAACTAATAAAGTTTACAAAGTAATGTGGACTAGATAGATGAACTCCCAAGTTTACTGTGGAATTTTATTAATCCTGAAGTATTTTAAAATTTAAGTAATAAAAGAAAAACTTCATATGCAGAGAGCCTCAGTGAGCGGTGACGGCATTCGCCATTACAAGATGGCACTGGCATCCGGTGCTCTCCCAAGTTTACTGGTGAACTGCACATGTGCATGTGGTAAAAGCTCGCCAAGTCACGGCCCATCCCGGGGCGTAAAATGCGTTCCTGAGCAAGCAGCCAAACAGATATGAACACGCCACTCCAGGGGTATATAAGCAGTGCCTTTTCGGGGCCCAGGGTCTTCCTCCTTTCATCACAATAAACGTTTTGCTGCAGAAGGATCCTGGTGTCCGAGTGCGTTCTTGCTGGCGAGACAATTACACACGGGTCACAGCTGGTGCTGAAACTCGGGAAACTCACCATCGCTGGCGCCGAGGAGACCCTCCGCTCGTGGAGAGGATTCAGAACTGCAGGACAAAGGTAAGCTCTGAGAGGCATGTTTGGTCTTGATCTATTTCGTCTTCCTGCCCAGTTGGCAGGAACTCTAGAAGCTCTCGCCATTGTGCTAGCGGCGTTCGTTCTCTTCCTTCTGGTTTTGCAGGATGAGAAATGCCGCTCAACTGTAGCGGCGGGCCAGGGAGTGCTAGACGAATTGCAGGATAGCATGTCAGAAACAGAGCGGGGTAAGCGCTTAGGAGCTCAGAAAAAAAAGGGAGCTCAGAAAGACATGCCTAAGGAAACAGACCCTTACAAAGACGTTCAGTCCGAGGAAGTGAGAGATAAGGGAAAGGACACCCTGGGAGAGAAACGTGAGAAAGAAAAAAAGAAACCCCTTTATCCGGTAAAGGAACTGGAGGTCTTGGGGCTTGATAGCTTTGAGTCAGAGGAACTAAGTTCCTCCGAGGGAGAGGAATTAGAAAGATACCAGCCAGATGGGCGGCGGCTGCCGCCGAATCGAGAACAAAAGGAGGCGGGAATGAGAAACAGCTCAGCTCCGCCCGCGGTGATTTCCCAGGCAGCACTTCCCGCCATAGTCCCCTGCACACTTCCGCCTTATGCGGACAAGTGCTGTTCAGACTCCTTCCTTTCAAAGGAAGACAAAAGAAGGATGTTACAAGCCTTTCTGGTATTTGAGGACTCGGGGGGAGGCCGTGTCCACACACCTGTAGAGTATGCCCCTATCAAAGAACTTGCTGAATCGGTTAACAAATATGGAGTTGATGCTAATTTTACACTCATGCAGCTTGAGAGATTTGCCGCTATGGCAATGACTCTGAGTGATTGACAAAATACAGTAAAAGCTGCCCTCCCTAACATGGGACAATATATGGAGTGGAAGGCCTTGTGGCATGACGCTTCTCAGACACAGGCAAAAGCCAATGCTAACGCGGAAGGCAATCAGCGACAATGGACATTTGACCTGCTAACAGGGCAGGGACAGTTTGTTAATGATCAGACAAACTATGATTGGGGAACATACAGCCAGATCTCTGCTGCCGCTATTAAAGCATGGAAAGCCCTCTCAAAGAAAGGAGAGGCCGGGGGACACCTAACAAAAATATTACAGGCCCTCCAAGAGCAATTCTCAGACTTTGTTGCTAGGATGACAGAAGCGGCAGGCAGGATTTTTGGAGACCCGGAACGGGTTAAGCCACTGATAGAGCAATTAGTATATGAAAATGCCTCACCAGAATGCAAGGCAGTCATTACCCCTAGAAGAAGCAAAGGGCTGACAGATTGGATAAAGGTCTGCCGAGGACTCGGAGGCCCGCTAACTAACGCTGGCCTCGCAGCAGCTATCTTGCAAAGCCAGAATCGCCCAAGTCCTGGCGGCAGTAAAGTATGCTATAACTGTGGCAAACCGGGTCATTTGAAACAAGAGTGTCGTGCTTCCATGCAAAAAAGAACCCCAGGGCTTTGTACTAAATGCAGGAAAGGTTATCACTGGGCTAATGAGTGTCAGTCAGTCAGAGATATTCAAAGAAAGATTATTCAGCATGATTACCCTCAACGGGAAGAGATGAAGGTACTCCAAAAAAACGAGTATCCAGGCCCCAGATACCAGGGCCCCCAAAAATATGGGACACAAGGCTGCAACCGGGAGACACCTCTAGCTGCAGAGCTACAAGGGGCTCCGCAGGGTTGGACCTCCGTTCCACCTCCCAATTCTTACTAATGCCACATGAGGGCGTGCAACCTGTCCCAGTTGATTTTAAAGGTCCCCTGCCTGAGGGAAGTGTTGGCCTTATTTTAGGTCGCTCCTCTCTTGCCTTAAAGGGGCTTGTGGTTCATCCTGGTGTGATAGACCAAGATTATACAGGAGAACTTCAAGTTCTCTGTTCTTGTCCACAAGGCATATTTTCTATCTCCCCTGGAGATAGGATTGCTCAATTGGTTATTCTTCCAAGTTTACATAATTGTTTCCCATCCACCGGGGTGCCTAGAGGCGCCAACGGGCTTGGTTCTTCAGGAACTGACTTTGCTCATTTGGTAGTGGATCTCAAAACTAGACCCACTTTACAATTAACAATAGAAGAGAAGAGTTTTACAGGGATTTTAGACACAGGAGCTGATAAAAGTATTATTTCCTCTAATTGATGGCCTAAGGCATGGCCTGTTACACAATCATCCCACTCCTTACAAGGGTTGCAATATGAGGCCAGCCCTACAGTCATTTCACGCTCCTTGACTTGACAGACACCAGAGGGTCAGACAGGAAACTTTATACCTTATGTGCTTCCTCTCCCCGTTAACCTCTGGGGAAGAGACATTTTGTAAGACTTGGGACTGACGTTAACTAATGAGTACTCTCAACAAGCTATTGATATTATGAAAAGGATGGGATATAAAGAAGGAAAAGGCCTTGGCAGAAAAGAACAAGGAAGGTTAAACCCAATTTCACAAGAAAGTAATACAGGAAGACGAGGTCTGGGTTTTCCCTAGTTGCCATTGAGGGCTCTATGCCCATACCCTGGCTTACGGAGGAGGCTGTGTGGGTTCCTCAGTGGCCTTTATCCTCTGAGAAATTGGAGGCCACTACCAAATTAATTGAAGAGCAAGTTAAAAATGGCCATTTAGAACCTTCTACTTCCCCTTGGAATACCCCTATTTTTGTTATAAAACAGAAATCAGGAAAATGGAGACTTCTCCATGATCTAAGGGCCATTAATGCACAGATGCGGCTGTTTGGCTCAGTGAAACGAGGCCTACCTCTGCTCTGTGCTTTACCTAAGCAGTGGAGCATAATAATTATAGACATTAAGGATTGTTTTTTCTCCATTCCCCTACACCCGCAAGATAGGCAAAGATTTACATTCACCTTACCTGCTGTTAATCACCTTGAACCTGATAAGAGATATCATTGGAAAGTTTTGCCTCAAGGCATGGCCAATAGTCCTACTATGTGTCAACTGTATGTACAAATGGCCCTTGAACCCGTTAAGAGACAATTTCCTTCCCTGCTCTTGATTCATTTTATGGATGATATTCTTGTCTGCCATGAAGAATTGACCATTTTGCAGAACTCGTACCCTTTATTAATTGCTACATTAGAACAGCGGGGTCTGCATATTGCCACAGAGAAGGTTCAAATTTCAGAAATTGGTTCCTTTTTAGGGACAGTTATTTACCCTGAGAAAATAGTTCCTCAAAAATTAGAAATTCGCAGAGATCATTTACATACCTTAAATGACTTTCAAAAGTTATTAGGTGATATAAGTTGGTTAAGACCATTTTTGAAAATTCCCTCTGCTGAATTGAAACCTTTGTTTGACATTTTGGAAGGAGACTCTCATATTTCCTCACCAAGAGCACTAACACTGGCTGCAAGCCATGCCCTACGAATGGTAGAGGATGCCTTGCAGGAGGCCCAGCTAAAACACATTGATGAGACCAAAACTTTTAATTTGTGTGTCTTTAAAACCAGACATTTACCAACTGCTGTGTTATGGCAGGACGGGCCCTTATTGTGGGTCCATCCTAATACATCTCCTGCAAAGATTATTGAATGGTATCCAGATACAGTCGCTCAGCTTGCCCTTCGGGGATTAAAAACAGCTATTACTCATTTTGGAAGGGAACCTAAGGTTTTAATAGTGCTATATACTACATATCACGTTCAAATATTAACTGCTACCTCTGATGTTTGGGCCGTGTTGGTCACCTCCTTTAATGGTCAAATAGATAATCACTATCCTAAACATCCCATTCTACAATTTGCCTTAACTCAAGCTATTGTATTTCTGCATATCATATCTCAGAAGCTGCTCCTGGATGGAGTGGTTGTTTACACAGATGGGTCAAAAACAGGTGTGGGTGCCTATGTAGTTGATAATAAAGTCACTGCCAAACAATACCATGAGACCTCACCTCAAGTTGTAGAATGCTTGGTAGTATTAGAGGTTCTTGAAACCTTTCCAGGCCCTTTAAATATTGTTTCAGATTCCTTTTATGTAGTAAATACAGTTAAAGTCTTAGAAGTGGCTGGGCTAATTAGACCATCTAGTAGACTTGTGGAAGTTTTTCAAAAGATTCAATTTGCTTTAGTTAATAGGAGATTCCCTGTTTTTATTACACATATTAGGGCTCACTCAGGTCTACCAGGTCCAATGTCTCATGGGAATGACCTGGCGGATCGAGCCACAAAGTTGGTTGCTATCGCCCTATCCTCAAAATTGGATTTGGCCAAAGATTTTCATAAAAAATTTCATGTGACAGCAGAGACGTTACGTCGTCGGTTTGATATAACTAGAAAAGAAGCTAGAGATATAGTTACTCAATGTCAGATTTGCTGTCAATTTTTACCAGTGCCTCATGTAAGAATTAATCCACGAGGAATTCGGCCACTACAGATTTGGCAAATGGATGTTACTCACATCCCATCCTTTGGCAAATTGCAATATTTACATGTTTCCATTGATACTTGTTCCGGAATTATATTTGCTTCTCCATTGGCCAGAGAAAAGGCAGCCCATGTTATCCAACATTGCCTTGAGGCATGGAGTGCCTGGGGGAAGCCTAAAATTCTTAAGACTGATAATGGACCAGCTTACGCTTCTCAAAAGTTCGGACAATTTTGTCGCCAAATGGAGGTGACCCATCTGACGGGTCTCCCTTATAACCCTCAAGGACAAGGCATTATAGAACAGGCTCATCGCACTCTTAAGTCTTATCTAATAAAACAAAAAGGGGGAGTCGAGGAGGCTCTACCCTCAGTGCCACGAGTCACCGTTTCTATAACACTTTTTACCCTTAATTTTTTAAATCTAGACAGTCAAGGCCACACGGCAGCTGACCGTCACTGTTTAGAGCCTGACAGGCCAAAAGAGATGGTCAAATGGAAGGATGTCTTGACCGGACAATGGAAAGGCCCAGATCCTATTTTAATAAGATCCAGGAGAGCGGTTTGTGTTTTTCCGCAGGAAGAAGACAACCCATTTTGGCTACCAGAGCGACTGACGTGACAACTCGTGATATTAGAAGATGACACCCAGGCGGACCCTCCAAACTCTGATGACAGCCCTCGTGTTGATCCAAGGGATACATGTTCCTAGTATATCGGGGGAACAACGATCGGCCATATTATCTGCCTTTCAAAAACCCATACCGGTCAGACATAATGCAGCTAATCTGTCCAGGAAATTGTCTCAATATCTTAAAGGAAATTGGTCAGAAAACTTCGATGAGACACTCAAAAAATTGAGAGCGGCTGTGGTGGCCATCAACTCGACGCGCGTGGATTTGTCCCTGACTGAGGGACTCTCCTCCTGGATCTCTTCAGCTTTCTCTTTCTTTAAAGAGTGGGTGGTAGTAGGCCTGTTTGGTACAGCCCTATGTTGCGGATTAGTGTTCATGTTATGGTTGGTCTGCAAACTCAGAGCTCAACAAAAACATGACAAGGTCGTTATTACCCAAACACTTACAGCCCTAGAACAAGGTTCATCTTCTGAAATTTAGTTATCCATGTTAAAGAAATAGCCAGTAGACAGATTCTTCAGCCGTTGCACCCCAAGGAATTTGCCCATTGCACTGGGTCGGTGAGGAGTCTTGGCCTGGCTGGTCCTTGTCTGTGTAGCTGTGGTACCTGAATTTGAGGCAAACAGCCCTTGCACCCCTGGGAGATGGCTCCATTGCACAGGGATGGGTGTTTGCATCTCTTTCTGTCTCCCTTAGCCCTTGCACCCAGAGGACTTGTTTCCATTGCACCTGGTAGGGTAAGGGAGACCGTCTTAAACTATCAGTCCTTGATCGCTTATTCTCTCAAGATGGAGTTTGCTTGATCGGGCTTGAGTTTGAGTCATGATTGGTACTGCGCCAGACAGGCCAAGGGCAGCTCCATCTTTTCTTCTCCGGGCCAGCTGCCATTGGTCCCAACGACAGGAATAGGTTGATGCCATAAGCCAGAAACACACCACTAGCTGTGAGTCCACCCCATGACGGGCCTTGTGAGTGGCCACAACCTGGGGTGCACATTCAGAGAATGCCAGGTGTGGGTGCGCAACCCTCACTGCCTAAGACAGGGAACTCACCTTTCATTGGTGCTGGTTATGGATTCACGTCAGCTAGCCTAAGACACGGGACATTGGCCAGTGCCTGTGATTCTTATTAAAACAAAAAGGGGGAGATGCAGAGAGCCGCGGTAAGCGGTGACGGCATTCGCCATTACAAGATGGTGCTGGCATCCGGTGCTCTCCCAAGTTTACGGGTGAACTGCACATGTGCATGTGGTAAAAGCTCGCCAAGTCACGGCCCATCCCGGGGCGTAAAATGCGTTCCTGAGCAAGCAGCCAATCAGATATGAACACGCCACTCCAGGGGTATATAAGCAGTGCCTTTTCGGGGCCGGGGTCTTCCTCCTTTCATCACAATAAACGTTTTGCTGCAGAAGGATCCTGGTGTCCGCATGCGTTCTTGCTGGCAAGACGATTACACGCGGGTCACATTCATATAACCAAACCTGTAATTCACAGTTTCCCCAAATCTTTCAAGCTGCCTCTTTTTCTAAACTGGGGAATTTGTTCATCCTCAGGAGAGGCTTATGGGCAGAGATGCTGGGTGAGGGGAAGAATAGAGGTACCACAGGTACCTTTCCCCAACCAAGAACAAGCTAAGATCCCTATCAATCTCCTGCCTTCCCCTCTTGGAGACGGAGATACATGTATCCTCCCCTAACTACAATCAAATTTAGACATTTCTATGTAGATATATTCCCATATATCCTGATCCAAGGACTTGTTTTGTTTGTGGACTTGTTTTGGTGTGTGTACTGTAAGGCAAGACTGTGATTCCTCAAGTAAAGTTTTAGGGAGAGTGCCTTATTTCCTGTCTTTGCTTATGCATAATTGGGTGTGCATCTAATTAAAATCAGGTGCATTATTGGAAAGAAAATACACAGCTGAAAAAAAAAATGAATGCAGGCCCTAATCAATCAAGCAAAATAGAAGGTCTCATTACAACTCTTATCAACCAAATGAATTTTTTTGAACTCTAGAAAAGGAAACCCCAAACAGTAATTTCATTCCTTCAGTAGTCTTGTGTAGCCTACTGTCAACCTATATCTTTTTCTAATCTGTTATTACTTCATCTCAATAAAGTTATCATGCAATTATTGCAAATCTGTGTGAGGCCTTATTTTTAGTCCTCTGGATTAAGAGGCCAAGAACCTGGAAATGCCTGACTGCTGACTTATTTACAATGATAATTGTAAATAATGAGATTCCAGAATTCATGCCTAAACAGCAAATGACCTTGAAAGTTGCTACATTAGTCAGATTTGCTTATCACATAATATTATCAGAGTCACATAAAGTTCTCTTTTCAAACTGATCTTTGTGTCTGCATGGGAAATTCCAACTTGTCTTAATATGTCCGTTGGTTTAGTTTTCTACCAGATGGTATTGATTTCTCCATCTTATTCTGGCTTCTGGATGACCTGGCTGTATTTGAAAATAACGCTGATTTAAAAAAAAAAAAAGTTACTTGCCACAACTAAATATAGTCAAAAGAATTTGTCATCAAGATCGAATGCCAAGATATTTCTGGAATTGGAATAAAGCTTCCTCAGAGTGATGACTTTGAAATAGTCTCAGTTGAGGTGTGAGTTCTACTCTAGTTACATGACTGAGTGACGTGCATATTGTGACATGCCAGCCTACAGGAATTCCAACTCCCGTGTCCTGGATGAGGTTCACTGCCTTGATTCTCTTCTGGCCTGGCCTTCCTCTCTTTTTGGATGGAATCCACTCAACTGGACTTACTTCAGTAGTGCTGTTATTATGTGGCCAGAGCCAGGACAGATCTGTGGGTTTTCCACTGTAATTTGACTTTTTGAGCCACCAGAATACCTGTTGGTATTTCATCATTGAAAGGTGTTGAGAAGTAACACAAAAACAACCTAGGATTATTGTAGAAAAAAAAAAAAACAGGCAGAGAGAAAGCAGGTCTTTGAAAAATTAACCATGTCTATCCTACACAAATGCCTTTGAAATACTAACACAGAGATAAGTGACCAGTAACATTTAAGTTGTTCTCCTGGCACGCAGCAGATGATTCAGTAGCCTCAGAGGTCCCAGCCAAAAAGCTTAAAATAGACCTGCATGGGAGTGTAACATGTCAGCCTGGTGGTTACCGTTTGCCTTTTTGCCAAAATCAGAAAGAAGAAAGACTGATTCTCTGCACTCCTCCTTATTCTCTACGGGTCTTCTGAGAAATCAGCAAGTAATTAGTAACTAAACAATCAGTGCTTGCTTTCTTGGTGTTGAGTCTTGAAATTACTGGTACTTGGAGTATGTCTTAATCACTGTTCTATTGCTCTGAAGAGACACCATGACTAAGGCAACTTATATAAAAGAAAACATTTAATTGGGGGCTTGTTTCAAGTTTTAGAGTGTTAGTCCATTATCATGTCAGGGAGCATAGTGGCATACAGGCAGCCATGGTGCTGGAGAAACTACATCCTGATCCCAGGCAGCAAGCACAGACACTGGGTGGGTCTGGCCTAGGTTTCTGCAACCTCAAAGCCCATCTCAGGGTACACACCTCCTTTAACAAGTACATGTCTGCTCCAGTGTACCTTCTACTCCTTCAAAGCAGCTCACTAACTGGAGACTAAGCATGTAAATACATGAGCCTATGGGGCCATTCTCAAAGTACCACATTCTATTTCCTGGACCCCATTGGCTTGTGGCCATATCACAATGCAAAATGCATTTAGTCCAACTTCAGAAGTCTCCATAGTCTTTAAGTATCAACACTGTTTAAAAGTCCAAAATTTCTTCTGCATCTTAACACAATATCTTATAACCCCATATAGATAAATATTTAAAAAGCAGATACTCTAATATACAATGGCACAGAATATACATTACCATTCCAAAAGGGTGGAAAGGGTATGTAGTAAGGAAATACTGGGCCAAAGCAAGACCAAAAGCCTAGCAGGGCAAACTCCAAATTCTGTATCTCTGTGTCAAAGTCTCTTCCGATCTACAACTCCCTTCAGCTTTGTTGACTGAAGCATACGTCTCTCTTTGGGGTTGGTTCCGCACCCTGTTAGCAACTCTTCTTGACAGTTATCCTACAACACTGGCATTTCCAGCATCTTGGGGTCTTCATTACAATCTAGGCTTCACCTTCACAGCTTCACACAATGAACCTCTCTGTACCTCCATGCAGGGACTGCCTTACAAAATGCCTGGCCCGTTTGGCTTTCCTTAACCTCAGATGAAGATTCCACAACCTCTTTACTCCTGTATCCTGGACTCTTAAGCCAGAACCAACTGGGTTAAGTACCATATTCTTCTGCTCGCTACTTGAAATGTGTCTTAGTCACTAGGGCTAAGGTTAGGACTAGAACCAGTGCCCCTAATTTTATTATGTTTTGCCATAAGCTTTCAGTTATCATTGGTTTGCTTTTCTACTTAAGCTTTCCTTTAATGCCTTTTCATAAGTTGGGAGCTTATCTGGGTGGAGTCTTGCCCTGAGGTCACTCACTACTCTATTGCATTTAGCGTCAGGCTTTTCTTTAAACTTTTTATCTCCATAAGCACAATACTTGGCTTCAACATCACCTTTTCTGCTGTTCTTTTTCAACTTGTCCCACTTGCTCTTTTTTGTTGTAGATCTGCACAAGAGTGGTCACTAATAACCATGTGACACAGTCAATGCTAGGCTGTTATTTGAAATCTCCACTGCCAATACCATTAATCCAAAACTCTTACAATTTAGCCTCTGGCATATACTTTTGGATAAAGGCAAGAAGCAGCCATATTCTTTATGAAACTATCACAAGAATGGTCTCTGAGCCACTTAGCTAATATTCTTCACCTTTGAAACCTCTTGAGCTGGGCCCACATTGCTCTCAGTACCACCTCCAAGTTCCTAGTAGGGTGGCCCAGTAAACCCTGCTTAAAGTACTCAATGACTTTTCTTGTCCAAAGTCCCAATATGTTTCTGTTTCTTCAACAAACAGCATGATCA